TTCGCAATACATTCCGCCGCAATTTATCAAAAACATCTTAGCTGCGGCGCTGCAGGAGGGCCACTGCTGATTGTGCTAAAAGTAACTGTTGTCAACTTTAAAGCCCCTTTTCTGGTCATTGATAAAACCCCTAAAAATGCCAAATTCCACCCACCGCCGTCTCTTCTGTAAACTACAACTTCAAGGCCAAAATGTTCATCATAAGTCTTCCAGCGTGTAACTATATGCCCACAATAACAAGGTAAAAAGCACTCATCTTTCACCAACCAGTATTGACTTAACCTTCTAGGTTTTAACATCGAAACTTTCGCTTCAAAACGTATTTCAAAATAAATGCAGTCTGGGATGCTAGCAGCTACTTAACTCTTTTCATTCAATCACTGTAAACAAGGAAATGTGATACAATTCAAGAGACAAGTTATCAGTGTTAACGGTGCACAATGTGCAATGCAGTGGTTGGAAACAAATGTCATGTAAAATGGAATTATTGCAAATGATGACCGCACGGCCACTAATGGAACATTTATGGGCCCACTTTGCTTTGGTCAGTATTTTAGTGCATTCTTCAATAACCACATTTTGAATAGGCCCTAATGGTCCCTTCCACCCACCCTACTGTAGAAACACAAACACAAAGTGGTCCCTAACCTCCTCCAATACTCTGACAAGGCTGTTCTTCTTTTTCTCCGCGCTGTTTCTGTTCTCCCATTGAAACATCTGTGTCCTAGACAGCATACGCCTCCCCGGCTGAATACAGAAACAGCGAACAAAACCTGCTTTATTTCATGTCTAGCTGGATCCCAGGGGAGACCAAAAACTTCCCTTTGCATTACACTTCTAACCAAACGTACGAGCTATTATCACCAAAGTCTCTGTGTCTTCATCTCACAGCATGGGTGTATGGGAGAAGGTCTGGGGGACTGTTTGTGTGTGCGTTTTTTTTTCTTTTCTAATGTGTATAAATGGAGGTGTGTTTGGACAAAAAGATCTGATCACAAGTGAGTGTTTGGCTTTCCTGTACTTTGTAAAGAAATAAAGGGGGTAGAGAAAAGTGCCCAGACAGGGATAAGACGAGGCAGAGAGAGAGAGATATCCAGACCAATCCGTCAAGACATAAGTACAAAAACAGCGTCACACGGCTATTGAGGGGAAGAGAGAAGAAAGAGGTGTGGAGAGAGAGAGAGAGTGAAAGAGGTCAGAGAAAGAGAGCGCAGGTGATGGTTTTAAGCTGCTGGTGTCACAGGCAGATAAAGGCTCCTCTGCCGCCTGGCTGTCATCTGCATCGCACACAATATCCCCTTTATTCGCAATATCACCTCTCTCTATTTTGCTTCATCTGCCACCCTGGTGGAGCAACTCCCAGTGTGATGCACTTTTTCTCTCCCCATCACACAGCTGCCAGCGATGCTGTATATATCATTCCCTCTCATTCTCTTCCTTACTTGCTTTCACATGCTGAAAAAAAAAAAACTATATCTCACTTACACATGCGTTTTTTTTTCCCCTCTCTCTCTCACACACATGCCTACTGTCTTCCCCACACCACTGCTTTTCTTTCCCTGCACATTTTACCTCAGTTTCCTCGCATGCATTTTACCCTGGCGTCTCCTTATCAGCGTTAGTCTTGGTCGTATTATTATTATTGCAGCCTCACATTGCAATAATCACCGCTTGACTGACTTGCTGTAATATTCTAAGAGCAATACATCATCCCAGTTTCATGTTCCACCCTGTTTTTACACTCACAGTTTCATCATATAACTCACACAAAATGAAAGCGTAAAGTAACTGCTTTTAACTGAAAGCTAATATTATTTCTATTCCCCTGTTAAAAAAAATCCTTATCACATAATCTCATCATTGGAAATCTACTAAACTTGATCTTAATGTTCCTGAACTGTGATCCTATGAATGACTCTGAAGTGCTCCCCTCTAATGTTGTAGCGAACAAAAATATCCATCATTTCTAATATTTTTGACTCATCTTTTGATTTTTAAATATGAAGGATACAAGCACAGATTCACACTCCCTTTTTTTGTGTGTGTGTGTGTCTCACAAAGGTCCACAAACACACACACACACATGCATACATGCAAACTGGAGTCACTAAAGCGTGGAGAGACAGGGTTCGGTTCATTGCTCACCTTGGCTGGTTTGATCAATGGCAGTCTGCCTTCTCCAAATCCCTCCCACAAACAGAGCTGAATAAACAGACAGGGAGCATTTACACAGACCCTGATAATCCGCTAATCCATATAACCTGCTTTCTAATCAACACACACTCACATGCATGCAGGAGCGAATAGGTACAGCGATACCGTGTACACACCCAAGAACACAAGTGTGCATAGAAACAGGAAATGCACACTTCTACACACAAACATTTGCATGCGCGCACACACACACACACACACGCACACACACTCACGCTGTATCAGTGACTTTTGCCTATTATCCTCTCTGACCTCCTCAACGGGACATGGTTGATAGTCTCGTTGAGGTTGATAACAGACAGAAGGGTTAATAGGGATTAATGGACTGTACACACACACACACACACACAGTCGTGCAGACACACACGCACCAGAGAATAACATCGCAATGCTGATGAGTTTACAGGCTTTTATGCGTCTCTGAAGTGTGTGTTTGTGCATTTGATTATTCAAGTGAAAGTATCATGTAGCTGTCGGCCACACAGCGTTCCCACGGCTTGATGGGATAATTGAAGCGTGAAAAAGCCATATAGAGTTTGTCAAAACTCTTAATGGTCTGAGCATCGCGGACGCCATGAGTACGGCGCTTAGTGTCATTAACTTCCACTCTATGGAGCAGACAGAGATTTTATCATCAAGGGGAAAAAGAACAACATAGCTGCATTTATACTTTTGATCAGTTATTCAGACAATTTAATGATCTGCTTAGTGAAAGGAAGACTCACTGTCTTGCTCATGCACTTTATCCTTATCTTATGTACTAGACGTGCATTTTCGACAGTTCACAGCCACTTAATGCAGTCTCACATCTTCGAAAGTGTTCTTATACATGATCTAATTACAAATGATTTACCTCGTGGGGGGTGCAGGGTTCTCCTGATTGTACAGCATTAGGTCGGTTTTCATCGACTTCTTCTTTGAGCATTTTCCAAAATTAGTCATCAGCTTGTCATGTGTACACAGGCTGGCACCCCTAACAAAGAAGTATATATTTTCTGACAGATATCACCCAAATATATTTTGGAATAACAGAGTGCTGACACGCCGACATGACTACCAGGCCGATCCTGTCTCCCAGAAATGAAGGAGCCACAAAGGAAGTTAGGTGGGAGGATGGAAGCATAAGTCAGCAGCAGGATGTCCACTGAAGAAACCAGGGCTTGCATTTTGTGTGGGATCATTACTCTGAGGTTGCATTTTCACATGCTTACTTTCAACTTTCACTTACTGTTTGGTTAGGTTTAGTCATCATGTCTACATGGTAAGGATCAGGAAAATATCAGACTTTGGTCAACAGTTCACAGCAATAACTAAATGGTAAACGGTCTGCACTTATATAGCACTTTTCTACCTTTGCGGCACTCATTCACCCAATCACACACACATTCATACACCAATGGCGACAGAGCTGTCATGCAAGGCGCTAGGGAGCAACTTCAGGTTCAGTGTCTTGCCCAAGGACACTTCGACTGTGGAGGGGACGGGGATCGAACCACCAACCTTACAGTCAGAGGACAACCGCTCTACCACCTGAGCCACAGCCGCCCAACTAGCTGTTAGATGCTTGGTCTAGATGCCGAAATTAGGAAAGAAAGCATGTTTTGGGTTAAATGACAGCATGTTTGAAGCTTCTTCTCTGTTGTTTGGTTTACCAGGGTGTTGATGTCTGTGAAGATTCTCAGTCATCCAGGTCATGGATATTTGCAATCGTAGCAACTGCTTGAGTTCCTTGAAGATGTTTCACCTCTCATCCAAGTTCTGACTGACTAGTTGGGAGTTCCAGATACTCACCCTGCCACAATGGGGTTCTGAAGCCAGCTAACGGGGAGTCCTAACGACTCGCATAATGAGAGGGGAGGAGCATCAAACCCCCAATTGAAACCGAAACTCAAGTGTTAATGGCTCCTTAAGGATATAAGTATACGGAACTCCCAACTAGTCAGTCAGAACTGATGAAGCCTCTTGGATGAGAGGTGAAACGTCTTCAAGAAACTCAAATTTTATTAAACTACAAGAATAACCAGGATGTTGAGTCATCTAATAGATCTAATATATGACTGAGTGTCTGAAAAGGAGCCACAGGAAAGCAGTATAATAAATGGCAAAGATATATTGATATGAAACAATTTGCAAAGCGTCACAAACAAATTTACTTGCAGAAAATGCAATCCCCCTTATAATTGAGAATGCAGTTTAGTTACATAGGAGAGACAGCGCTGCCCGGGCACGGAGTACAATTAAACTAATCTTATGCCATATTTTTCTCTGTCACCACTGATGCTGTCATGTTTTCTTCAGAGAGCAGTTAATCTTTAATCTGTCGCCTGATGTGCTTCCAGACACAAACCAGGAACATATTTGCAACTTTCAACCAAAGAAGCAATGACTCACTTCTTCAGAAAGGTTACAAACTGTGTATCGAAGAGCTACCTGTGACTCATTTTACTTTGTTGGAATCAGTTCGAATGTCAGTGTTACTTTTTAAATAAAATTACAAGATGTGTCACAAATATAAAGATTTGTTCAAGCACTGACATATTAGAGTGGGTGCTTTTCTGTGTTTTCTTTTTTTTTTGCTTTCAGTATTTTAAAGCAAGATGTTTTGTGAAAGTCAAATGTCAATGTTTTTTTTTTTTTATAGCCTTTTGCTCCGTCGCAGTCTCAGCTTTTTTTTTTCCATTACACTTGACTGATTCTGTCCTTCAGTACAACTTCCCTTTCACAGACAGCACCTTTGTCTTCTCAACATCTTCTCTCCCCTCTCCTCCCCCTCCGACTCTCTTCAGGTACGGTGGACGAAGACGGCGGGCAGCGCTTCCGACAAGTTCCAGGAAACATCCATCTACAACGAGACGCTGCGCATCGAGGGCATCCAGAGGGTGCAGGGGGGTCGCTACTACTGCAAGGCCGACAACGGGGTGGGGGTGGCTGCCATCAAGTCCATCCGCGTAGATGTGCAGTGTAAGTGGGCAAGGGAGAAAGAGGAAAAAAAAAAATAAAAATCAACAAAAAAAATATAACTCCTTCCACTTCTAGACCACAGCTGACTTTCACTACAGCCATTCCCACTGTTGGAGAAGATGGGGGAGAGATAGAAAGATTGCAAGAGGAAAGATGAAAGACTGATTGGATGGATGATGAGATTTCAGGTGGGAATGGTTTCCAAGAGTATCTGATGAATTATGGTGGAGAGGAGAGGATGAAACGCATGCTAGGAGGATTAGGGGGGGAGCGGGGTAGATCAAATGAAACGGTCGTATCTAGGAGGGGTATTGATAAGAAGCCTTAAAAATTTCATTGAAATATTGGTTTAGTGAATTGATGTGCTGGGATAATGCACCACAGACAGTTTACTCCACCAATAGGGGTAATAAGAGGGGAAAAAATGATTTGTCAGATACTCAAAAAAGTGAAGTCTGTGGGACATTTCAAGAGTTTTTATAACAGTTAGTCCAGGTGGTACGGGCTCCCTAACGCACTGTTTCTCAACTCAGCCATGTCACTGTGTCCTCTAAAACTGAAAAAAGAGGAAGAATAACCACAAGTTGTTGTTGGCTGCTTGGACTGAGACATCCAGAGTGGACACTGCCAGTCACATTTAGTGCCAATCATTAAGAGATTACCTCGTTGACCTGCCCCCTGTAATCTGGGGCTCTAAAGCGGGGCTGTTGTTATTGTTTGTAAAGTTAAAAAGAAAAAAAGAAAAGGTACTAGATTATATTACAAGGCCCTTTTATCTTGGATAGGCATCAGTAATTTTCCAGAGAGACACTCCACGCTGAAGTGTTTTAACCTGCAACAATGTCGGCATGTGAAACTGTGCCGTTGCCGAGAGACGCACAACATTTTCAGAATCCGCCGCAATCAAATTCAAAGGAACGTCTGCTGACATTGGAGGAGGTAGACGTGTGCAAGGCCACGCAACGCCAGAGCTGCTTGTTATTTGTGCGTTAACTGATTAAATAGCCAGAATATGTGGAGACAAGACACAGATTGGCGGCCTTGGCTCATGTAACATCATCAGTTCTTCTCGCGAATGCTTTCAAAGTTATGTTCTCATGCAGTCAAAGGTAGGGTCAGTTTCTGCAGATCCTTTAGTGCGTCTCCCCTATGTGATAGCTGCATTATCAGGCTGCCAATAAGCTGATATACCTGCAAGAACATTACATTGCAGTGTGATTTTTTTGTCGTGTGTAGCCCCAAATTGAGAATGCTCACCATGTGACAGTTGAGAAGCAGCTGTGTTGTAGGGGCCCCGTGCTGCTGCTTGTTTCACTGCCCCACTGTCCCTGTGAGGCAGGGGCCAGGTCACGGCGTCGGGTTGGTTCACATGCAAACACATCCTTGCTATTACACACTTTCATTGGATTCCCGGCACCCTAAAATCCTTCCCCCCACTGCCTATTGCGTAAACACTTCCTTCCGTCATTGATTTAATCATTTTAATGGTGGATTTATAGACTAATAGAAAAAAAAAAAAGTTTGATTTTTCCAGGACTCCTGTAACACTAAACAGCCATTACCTGCCTTTCATTGCTAAATACATCACTTCTTTTGCTTTGTGTAAAGTCCAACAGTATGGCCTGCCTGCTTTAGCGTCAAATCCCTGAAACCAACCAATTTCACCTATGCACTCACGAGCACGCGCGCATCTACACACACACACAAACACGCACGTATGCGCACACCATGTTTGTCCCTCTAGGATTTGTCACTTAGCCACCACCCTGCCTCAGCCTCCTAATGGAGCTCTCCCTCCCTCCTTCCTCTGCTCCCCTTTCTGCTGATAGTGTTAGTTCTCCCCAGGCGCTTGGCCCCTGCTGGGGAGCTGGTAATTGCAGGGGGCCTGGGTAGTAAACAGGTTGCATTGTGAGTGTAGTTGTGACAGGAGCTCTGTGAAGCTAACCAGCTCTGACGGCCAATGCTTGTTCAATTCCCCTTCCCCCATGCTGTGTTAGACCCACTGGCTATCAGCCACGCTTCCTACACAGGGCGGCTTTAGTGCTAGAACGATGTAACAATTAGCCTAGGCTACCCAGGAAAAAAAAAAGAAAAAAAAAAAGAGAGGGAGACAGAGGGAGAAAGACAGATGAAAGTGGAGGGGAAGATGGATGAGAGGGTGAAGAACGAGAGGTCGTAACGGCGAGGGAGAAGCAAGAAGCAGCAACCAGCAGGGCTTAGCGTTGAAGTGATGCGTGAATATGCAGAACACTGTAGACACCAACTGGAGTCAGTTAATATTAGGTTTATTAATGCATAGATGGATAACAAATTATATGAGGAAAATATTGCAGTCATCAGGTGTTGAACCAGTTGCCACCGAAGCAGCTTAAACACTTCTTGCTACAGAAGATGCTGCAGCTTGGCTCCAAAATCAATGACCTGTGAAAGTTCAAGTATATGAGTCACATTATTTTTAGATTATTCAATATAGAACCACTTTGTGGCCTGTTAAAGCAGACAGACAAAAAAGCACATCTAAATCATCCTGCTCAGTAAATATTTTTCTTATAATTCATTCATTCCATAAAACAAATTTAATGGATACAATGATTTAATAATCAAATAGCTGCAAATGAGATGCTTGTCATTTTCAAACATCCATTTCAGTATCAGCATAAGGTCAGGTTCTGAATGAGAAATCTGTTTTTTTTGTCTCCAAGCATGTAATATTTGTCTTCATTCAATAATCAGGTTTAAGATGCAGCATTATCATTATGCAACACAAGATCCTATGACTACAATGACACATAAAGCCATTTATATGTGTAATATAATACAGTTTCCAGAAGGGATTGGTGTCGTAATGGCTCATTTTAGATTTATCATGTGTTTTGGTCATCATTAACCATCTTAAATGACTTTTAAAGTAATCTGCTTGCTTGACCAAACTCAGCTACTTCCAGTGTTGCTAAAATGTTTTCTAAAGAAGAAAAAAAAAACAACAACTGACAAGACAGCAGCTGATGTTCAACACAAACTCCAGACTTGGCTCCGTCAAAAACCAATGGGAGACATCACAGATGAAACGTCCACAGAGATAAGAAATAACAGAAGGATACGTGTTGCTCGAGCAGCAGTGTGCAGGGGAAAACACGGAGAAAGAAAAGAAAACGCTGCTTTTCATTTGGTTTTAACGCCAACATGCAGTGTGAGCGGGAAAAAAAATAATATATATGAGGCCGATATGAGGCCTATTGTGCATGCTGACCATAATCCTCTCTATCGAATGTGCAAGTGAGACTGTAGTTACCTAAAGAGCACTTGACCTTTCCGGGTATAGCTGAGCAGGGAGTTCAGGGAGAAGCTGGAGTAACAGTGACTGATAGCTGCCACGTAGATTACAGTATTGAGGTGGTTAAAAGAAAAAAGAAGACAGATGGCGAGAGAGACCAAAAGACAAATGAAGACAGTGAGAAGGACAAATGGAATTTGGGGAAGGAAATGAGAGGCAGAGAGCGATGCACATAATAAGGTAGAAGCACTCATGCTTTTCAATTTGGATGCATCCAACAGACCAGTTATTGGACTAGAGGGCAGAACATGCTGTTTCCTGCACAGGGTACAAACAAGGGCTTTAGCTCTCCCCCCCTCTGCTTCTCTCAATCACACAATTTCTCTCTTTTTTCCCGTGTCTCAGCTTTTTTTTTAACACTAAAAATGACCAAGCAGTGCACTTTGTATTCACTCTTTCTGTTACTCTTTATTTTCCCCCATCTTCTGCTTCCTTCCCTCATTTCTCCATATTTCATCTTCTCCTCTCATCCTGTTTTTTTTCTTTTCCTTCCCCCTTCCTCCTGCCTTTTTCATCCTTCCTGCCTTCCTCTATGAAATACATGCACCACTGTGTGATGAAGCAGTGTGTGTGTGGTTGCATATGAAGTGAGTCAGCTGGGGTCTTTCTCCTCTCAGCTGTGAGGCTCAACCAAACACAGCAGTGTCTGGCTGTAGGTCATCTGCCCTGCATGCGGATTTAACTTCATACAATCACATGGATGCAAAAAGGCATGCTAGAAAGCACAAATGTCCGCACACACACACACACACAGGGAATCACAAATGTCGGCTATTTTATATGCAGCACACACATACACACACACACACATTTTGCATACATGAAGATGCATCGATGCAAACAGGAACAATTCAAAGTGCGAGAGGGAAAGGAACAGTGAGGAACAAAGAGAGTGAGTGACAGATGGAAAGTGAAAAGAGAAAACGAGTGGAGAGTTTCAGGGCTGAGGAGGAGACACACATTCAGTATTCTACTTTGAACAGAAGGCACATACAGTAAGTCGCTTCTATATTTCCTCAGCACACCCCGTATCTCAGTCGTTCGTTCTCGTCCCTTTTTTTTTTTGTCCTCTTTACCTGCAACATTCTCGCTTTTAGTTTTTTTGTTTTTCTTGTTCACGCACACAAACTTCTCCCTCCTTTCTCTCTCATTCTACACTCTCTTATTTCCTTCATTTCTATTCTCTGAATCCAACCCATGAATGAGTTATTTATGTAGGATGTATTTACTTATTAACAACAGGAATAGTTTGAATAAATCAGTTAGTACAGAAGCCTGCCCTCTTGTTTCTTGTATGAACCTGCTCGCAGGACCTTCAGTCAATCAGTTATCGTGTCGGTGTTTTGTTTTTCCCCCGTCTATAAGCAAATGCACGTGAAGCAGGGTTATTCCTTACTTCTGCCAATCTCCCCCTTTCCCATTTCCACAGAAAGCACATACAGCAACCTTTCCATTAATCTGCTGCCACTTAGATTGGCTTCACTAATGCTTTCCACTCAGCGACACCCCCCATTCACCCATCAGCCATTACTGCAAATGACCTTCTTTCCCTGTTAGACCTCCATCACGCGGGGGGTCACCTGTATCAAACACCTGATCAGTGACCTGGCACTCTAACCGCTGAGACAGTGGGGCAGTGAGCTGGCGGGGTTTAACTTTGAGTAGC